CTTCCTTCTTTGCGTGCGCGGCGCCGCTTCCAGAGTATCCTTCTGTCCCCGGAGGTAGACTTCCTGTCCTACTCCTACTGCTCCCTTTGTCCTTCTTGCCGCCCTGCTGCTGCCGCTGCTCATAGCTGCACGCCTTCCCCAATTGCACTGTATGCAGGTCCTCTACCGCTGCCTGTATCTCTTCCTTCAGGTATCCTGCTGCCTTGACTCCCTCCCATGTCACCCAGTTCTCAGCCTCGTCCATTCCCACTGGTTCTATCCGCATCTGGGTTGCTAGCGGCATCGGCTCATCTTCCCATGTTTCTCTCTTAATCCACCTCACTGTCGCCATGGCCTGTTTTCCATCCTGCCTCATCACATCTCCCGTTATACAATCTGCTTCTTCCTCCCCTGGCATACTCGCACCTGCCCCTAGTTCCTCACCCTCCCTCTCTTCTTCCTTCAGCTCCTGGGCCTTGTCCCATACAGGCCCTTCCCACCCTGCGACCCGTAGCTCCCTTTGCCACCAGTTGCTCACCATTTCGGCTGGTCTACCCTCCCTGACCCTCGCCTTCTCGACCCTCCCTTTTGCTTCTGCTACTGCTGCTACACATGCCCGTGCCTCTATCCCCTCATCCTTACCTTCCGCTTTTGCCACTACTGATGTGCACGCCTGTGTCCCCACCTTCCCTTCCTTCCCCTCCGATCTCACTGTCATTGGAGCAATTGCCCATACCCCCACCTTCTCGTTCTTCCCTTCTGCTTCCGATGCTGCTGGTACGCACACCTGTGCTCTCAACTTCTCGTCCCTCCCTTCCGCTTCTGCTACATCTGGTGCGCACGCCTGTGCCCCCACCTTCTCTACCTTGCTTTCCGCTTCCGCTATTGCTGGCATGCCCTCCTGTGCCCCCACCTTCCCTTCCTTCCCTTCCGCTTCCGTTACCACTCGTACACCCGACCAATCCCCCACCTTCTCGTTCTTGCCTTGTGCTACTGCTGCTGCTGGTGCACTCAGTTCTGCCCCCACCTGCTCGTCCTGTTCCTTCGCTACCGCTGCTGCTGGTACACACGGTTCTGCCCCCACCTGCTCGTCCTGTTCCTCCGCTACTGCTGCTGCTGGTACACATGGTTCTGCCCCCACCTGCTCGTCCCGTTCCTCCGCTACCGCTGCTGCTGGTGTTACTAACATACACGCCCATGCCCCCACCCTACGCACCTGCTCCCTTCGTCCCTCCCTGCCCCCACTGCACAGCCTCATGTCTTCATGGCCACGTAGCACCGCAAAAGACTGCTCAGGCTTCTGCTCCTCTTCCTCCTCCTCCCCTTCCGTCCTTTCTGTCCTTCCCCCTAGTGCCTGGAGTTGGGCTTTTAACCTTCCGATCTCGCCCTCAATTTTCCCGGGTGACCTCTTTGGTCCACCTGCTCCCTGATGCCCCCTTTTTCCACACTCCTCACAGGCCGGTGCGTTCGGATTGTCTTTTCGACGGTGTCCGGGCCTTCCGCATACATCACAGTTCTTGCAGTCTCTCTGGATATGCCCTACCTGCCCGCACCTGTGGCACGTACGTGTCTCTGGTCGCTTCTCCTGCCACTGCTCCTCCCTGTCCCCGTGCTCAGGTATCATCGCTGTAGCCCACGTGGGCTATCTCTTCTCAAACACCTTCGGCAAGTATGCCTCATACCGCATCTGTGCCAGCTCAACCTTCTCTGCCAACTCAAACACATCCTCTAGCACCGCTTCCGCCCCCAACTCATACACTCGCATACGCAACCCACCACTCAGCCCTTCATTCAGGCCGCCCAAGAACTTACTAATTAGCATGCTGCTGTCTGTGCATACCACGTCTTCTGCCAAGTTAACCAACCTTCCGAAGTACGTTAGCAGTGACTCCCTCTCCCCTCGCCTAAACTCTTGAAACTCTCTTATCCTATCAACCGTGTACCCAGGGAATTGCTTCCTTAGCCGCTCCAGGAACAACGAGGTCGGGTCCTCGTCATCCTCCTCCGCCCGTCTCAGCCATTCCGTCATCTTCATCCGGTACAGTGTCTCTGCATCTCCTCCCAAGGTATTGGATAAGCTTAGAAAGAACTCAATTGGATCCATCCCGCTCCGATCGCACCGATACTTCACGTTGCCTATCTGCATGAGATAATTCTTAAGTCCCTTCCCTGTCCCCGCGTTCCCTGTGAACCTGACAGGTACCTCCACCTTTGGCAGCTCCATGGCGCTCCACCCCCCCGTCTCCCATGTCACCGACACCCCTCTGCCCGTCTGACTGTTCCTTCTGCCCCACGCTTCCGATCCCTTGCTCCTCTCCCTTGCATCATACAGCACCTGCTCCATACTTTCTCTGGCCGCTCTTGCTCCTGCTAAGCTTCCCCCCGCCCCCCATGGCCTATCGTGCCTATCTGAACTTGGGCTTCTCCTCATCCTTTCCCGTACTGTATTCTGACTTTCCTGCCCCTCCCTGAACCTTTCCTATTCATCAGGGCGGAATCCCTATCGGTGATGCTTCCCTATCGCTGGTGCTCTTGTCTGAACCACTCTTTTCCACCTTCGCTCTCTCCTCCCCTCAACTTCTCCCTTACTTTGCGCTCTCCCTCACCTCTCCCCCTCGTTTCTTCCCCTCTCTTTCTCCCTTTCATCTCTTCAGCTGCTTTCCTTGTCTCCCTACCCCTCTCTCCTGTCCCATACAGGATGCGGTTGATGCCCTCTCTGGCCGCCCTTGCTTCCCTAGAGCCCTCCCATGACTGCCTCGGCCTCCTATGCCACACCGGACTTGGGCTTCTTCCCCGTTCATTCTCATACGCCTCCCTTCGCCTTTCTGAACTTCACCTCTGCCCGTCTTCCTTTTTAGGCGAATATTCCCTGCGACGCCTCTCCTGCTCTCCCCATTCTTGGCGGCTATGGTCCTCTCTTCCAGCCTCCTCGCCAGGTGATAGCTCACGGCGATAGTGTTCTCCCTCGCCCTTCCTGATTCGTCCCTCTCTCTCTTGTCGCCTCCTTGCCTCTTCACCAAATCCTTCGCAGCCTCTGCCCTTGTGGGTGCACTTCCCTTCCTTCCCTGCTCACTCTTGCATCTGCTCCTGAGGTGCCTGGCGACGAACGGTCACCACTCCTCACCCGCGCCTCCCCCTGGTGACTCCGCCCCCGTGCTGGCGAGCGCAGCTCGCGCCTTTCCTCATAATCTTCTTCTGCAAACTCTTCCTGCCTCTCCGGCGATCGCCATCCGCCCATCGCCATGCGCCTCCTCCTCTCATGGCCTTGCCTTGGCTCGGGCAAGCGATACGCTTCCGCGGGTTCATGACATCCACCCTCATCTTCTCGACGCCCAGCTGCCGCGTGATCTGCCGCCATGTTCCCGCGACGCCTCATGCCACTTCCGCGCATCTCCTCTGGTGCGCGATCTGCATCCGCAATCTTCCCCTGGCGCCTCACGTCACCTCCGCGCATCTCCACTGGCGCGCGATCTGCATCCGCGCGGCTCCCCTGGCGCCTCGCGCAGGCGCCACTCCCGCGCACCTCCTCTGGCGCGCGATCTGCATCCGCGCGGCTCCCCTGGCGCCTCGCGCCACTCCCGCGCACCTCCTCTGGCACACGATCTGCATCCGCACGGTTCCCCTGGCGCCGCGCGCCACTCCTGCGCACCTCCTCTGGCGTACGACCTGCACCCGCGGTCCCCCGCTGTTTCGCGCCGCCTCCGCGCATCCCTACTGGCGATCCGTTTTCGCCTGCGCCTTTGCTCCCTTTGTCGCGCTCTTCCTCCGCGACTTCTTCCTTCTCACCATCCCGCGTCATCGAGATCTGTTCTGCTTCTTGCTCGCCGTCGGCCTCACTTGCCGAATCCGACGAGTCCACCACTTCCGCGTCATCGCAACACATTCCACCCCCTCCTTGATGGCCGCGTTGTCAGATTTATATGACATAGCTACTGTAGGCTATAGTGGGGTAGCACATATGGGGTACAACTTTCTGGGGTTTGTACTTGTACCCAACTTTCCCTTAGTCATTCCATTCTCGTTCTCTTTTCTCATGGTATCGAGCAGGTTCCCTAGTGGGAACTGTTCCTAGGGCCCACCGACTATTTTTTCCTGCCCGGGGCGTGTCCCGCCCCTGCCCGAAGCGCGCTTAGGGTCGCGCCTTCCCTAGCGGCCCCGTCGCGTCGCCCTTAGCGGCCCGTCGCGCCGCCCTTAGCGGCCCGTCGCGCCGCCCTTAGCGGTTCCGTCGCGCCGCCCTTCGCGGCCGCGTCGCGCCGCCCCTTCGTGGCCCCGTCGCGCCGCCCCTTTTGCGGCCCCGTTGTACCGCCCTCAGCGGCCCGTCGCCGCCCTCCCCCACTGGCCCGTTGCCGCCCTTTCACCTTCCGCCCCGTCACCGCCCTTACAGCGGCCCCGTCGCTGCCCTTGCAGCGGCCCCGTCGCCGCCCTCCCCTTACGGCCCGTCGCCGCCCTCTCCTTACGGCCCGTCGTCGCCCTTACAGCGGCCCCGTCACCGCCCTTATAACGGCCCCGTCGCCGCCCTTACAGCGGCCCCGTCGCCGCCCTCCCCTTACGGCCCGTCGCTGCCATTTCAGCGGCCCCACCGCCTTCTTCAGCGGCCCCGTCGCCGCTCACTTCAGCGGCCCCGCCGCCCCTCGCGGCCCCGCCTTCCTTAGCGGCACAGCCACCCAGCCGTCGAGCCGCCCAGCAGCCGAGCCGCCGAGCCGCCGAGCCGCCCAGCAGCCGAGCCGCCGAGCCGCCCAGCAGCCAACCAGCGAGCCGCCGAGCAGCCGAGCCACCGAGCAGCCGAGCCGCCCGAGCCGAGCCGCCGAGCCGCCCGGTCACCGAGCCGCCGAGCCGCCCAGTTGCCGAGCCGCCGAGCCGCCGAGGCGCCCGAGCCGCCCTGTCCGGTAAGAGCAGCGCCTCTCTCACTGCACTGCCCTTACCCTACTGTTCGCGCTGCTAGTCTACTGCTGTCATGGCTACCCCTAGTGTCCTCGCTTTTGACGCTGAGGGTCGGGCCATTGACTTTGACGTCTAGGTAGATGACCTGCAGCTTTTTCCTACAGTGCGATAGGACAGACGGTCTCTCCCTCTTTGACCTCACCTCTGGTGCCTCTCCTGCCCCTGCTGCTGATGCTGACGCCACTGTTCGCTCACAGTGGGCCACACGCGATGCTGCTGCACGTCTTGCTGTGCGTCGCCACCTGCCTACCTCTGAGCGTGCGCACTTTAGTCAGTACAAGAGTGCTCAGACCTTGTACGACGCTGTAGTTGCACGCTACTCCTCCCCTGCCACTGCTGCACTGAGCCGCCTCATGCTACCGTACCTCTTCCCTGACCTTGCTGCCTTTCCCACTGTCGCTGACCTCATTACGCACCTCCGCACTAGTGACACTCGCTACCGCGCTGCGCTTCCTGCTGAGTTCTGCGCCAAGAACCCCCCCCCCCCCCCCCCATGTACATCACCCTCTACTACATAGTCACCCGGCTCCCTGACTCCCTTCGCGTAGTCAGGGACCACTTCCTCTCAGTTTGCCCCACCACTCTCACCGTTGTCCTCCTCGAGAAGGCCCTCCTAGCAGCAGAAAAGAGCATAGTAGCTGTAGGAGCCTCTCGTGGTGACCCTCGCACCCCCATCTTTGAGGGGTGTTCCCCCTCCCCCCTTTTGCCCTCTGTTGCCTCTGCTGCTGCGGCCGACCTCGTTGGGCTTGAATCGGACGGTGCTGCGTCTACCCCTAGCGGGAGACGCCGCCCTCGCAAGGGCAAGGGGGGCAGGGGCGCTGGAGGAGCTAGCGGGGGCGGTGGAGGTGGCGGTGGAGGCGATGGAGGGGGTGGGGGTGGCGGTGGGGGTGGTGGCGGGGGTGGAGGTGCCGATGGCGGCAGTGGAAGCGGAGGCGGCGGCGGCGGTGGCGGTGGGAGCGGAGGTGGCGGAGGTGGCGGCGATGGAGGAGGCGGTGGCGGTGGAGGTGGAGCTGGTCGTGGTGGCGCTGCGCAGAGGGTCGGCTCCGGTGGTGGTCAGCGCCAGCAGCAGCAGCAGCGCACTCGTGACATCCCCCCCCCTCAGCAGCTCCGTGAGTGGTACATTGCACGCCAGCGGGGTGGGGGTACTGGTCCGTGCACCTACGTCCTACGCACCGGCGACCGCGCAGGTGAGCGGTGCGGAGGTGCGCACTCCACCCAGCGTTGCTTTGGCCTCTTGACGGACGCTTGGCGTCACCAGTTCCCGGAGGCCACTGAGATCCCCCGCTGGGGCGAGCTTTCTAGGGCGGGAGTAGCTGTCTTTGACCTTGACTTTGATGCTATTCTTGCTGCCATGTATGCTGTGACTATTAGTGATGAGGGTGACTGTTACCGGTGTTTTCCGCCCGACCCGGGCATTTAGACTGCTGCTCTAGGTACTGGTGAGGCTGCTGCTCTAGGTGCTAGCGAGGCTGCTGCTCTAGGTGCTCGTGCGTCTGCTCCCTCAGGTGCTGGTGAGTCTGCTCTCTCAGGTACTGCGTCGGCTTTGGCCTCCCACACCTTCACAAGAGCTACGCGAGTGGTTTGCCCGGCGCTGGAGGCGTGCTGCTGGAGCTGGAGGTTCTTCGGCTGCTGAGGGTGCTGGTGCAATGGGTCCCGGAGGTGCTCGTACTGGGAGTACTGGAGCTGCTAGGCCTGCGGGTACGACTAGAGCTGGAGCTGATGAGGGTGTTGGCGCTTAGGCTACTGCTGTCGGTCCTGGAGGCGGTCTTGCTGGGGGTGCTACTGGTACTGCTGGAGGTACTGGAGCTGGGGGTGCTGCTGGCGCTGGTGCTGCCGCTGGGGGTACTGGTGCTGTCCCTGCTGTGTCTGGAGTCGCCGCGCAACCTCGGCCGTACTTTGTTCCGCTCCTTCAGCAGGTTCTTGGTCTCCCACCTTCTACTGGTCCTCCTTTTCCCTTAGAGTGTCCACAGCCTGTCCCGTCACAGTTACGTTACAGCCGGCCTCCCCACTGCCTGCTCCTTCTCCCTACACTGGTCCTACTGGAGATCTTGCTGGGCGTCATGAGCCTGCGTCTCGCCCTGCGTCGCCTGTCCGTCCTGCTCGCACTAGTGGTCGTGGTTCGCGTCAGCGTCCTCCTCCTGTCCCTGGCATGCACCGAATGTCTCTACGTCCGTCCACTGCTCCTCTGCGTGCCCATTTGCCTTCTCCTCCTGAGTCCTCTCTTCCTGCTCTTGCCGACCCGGAGTCCGACTCTCTTCGTGCTGCCAGTCCTACTGTCACGCGTCTCCTTGCTACTGTCGTCACTGACCCTTCCTTTGAGTCCATTGCTGCGTCTGCCCTAGTTGCTGAGCTCGTCGACTTTGCCGCTCGCTGTCGTCTAGACTACGCTGCTAGTCTTGTCGCTGAGTCTAGGTCTGTCTGTCCTCCGTCCGTCGGGGGTGAGTGTGCCCTTGGCATGGACGTCCTTGGGGACAGGCAGGAGGAGTTCCAGTGTTTGGCTGCTGCTTCACCTCATCTCTTGTCCGTACTGCTTACCCCTGAGGGAGACCCGGATGCACTTGATATCCCGACTCCGCGCTCTTACGCGGAGGCGATAGAGGGTCCCTACTCCTCTCAGTGGCAGGCAGCTATGGACACAGAGATGGCTTCCTGGAAGTCCACAGGCACCTACGTTGACGAGGTTCCCCCGCCTGGGGCGAACATCGTCAGTGGCATGTGGATTTTCAGGGTGAAGCGGCCGCCGGGTGCTCCGCCTGTCTTCAAGGCGCGTTACGTGGCTCGTGGCTTCAGTCAGTGGCAGGGAGTTGACTACTTTCAGACCTTCTCTCCCACCCCAAAGATGACCACTCTTCGGGTACTGCTGCACATAGCTGCTCGCCGCGACTACGAGCTGCACTCTCTTGACTTCAGCACTGCTTTCTTGCAGGGCAGCCTGCACGAGGAGATCTGGCTGCGTCGCCCACCTGGCTTCACTGGGTCTTTTCCTCCTGGCACCCAATCGACCCTCCGGCGGCCAGTCTACGGTCTCCGCCAGGCGCCCCGTGAGTGGCACGACACACTGAGGACTACACTTGCGGCTCTTGGGTTTGCTCCTTCTACAGCCGACCCGTCGCTGTTTCTGCGCACTGACACTTCTTTGCAGCCGTTCTACATCCTCGTGTACGTCGACGACTTGGTCTTTGCCATAGCTGACACTGCTGGACTCGCCCACGTGAAGTTCGAGCTACAGAAGAGACACACGTGCACAGACCTGGGTGAACTGCGCAGCTACCTTGGCTTGCAGATCACCCGGGACAGAGCACAGCGCACCATTACCCTGACTCAGTCACACATGGTGCAGCAGGTCCTTCAGCGCTTTGGCTTCACGTACTCCTCGCCTCAGGCCACTCCTCTGCCTACTCGCCACTCGCTCTCAGTTCTGCCTTCGGATGAGTCCGTAGAGTCGAGTGGCCCGTACCCAGAGCTTGTTGGCTGCCTCATGTACCTGATGACCTGCACACGACCTGACCTGGCATACCCTCTTAGCATTCTCGCATGCTATGTTGCTCCTGGGAGACACAGACCGGACCACATGGCTGCAGCGAAGAGGGTGTTGCGCTACTTGTGCAGTACGTCGGGCATGGGGCTTGTGCTTGGAGGGCAGAGTCCAGTGGTCCTCACTGGGCACGCAGACGCTTCTTGGGGTGACGACCAGGCTACGCAGCGGTCGTCATAGGGTTACACCTTCAGCCTTGGTTCCGGCTCTGTTTCGTGGCGGGCTACCCGCTCGTCTTCTGTTCTCGGCTCCAGATGTGAGGCTGAGATCTACGCCGGGGCCATGGCTGCACAGGAGCTTCACTGGCTCACCTACCTGCTGACTGACCTCGGAGAGCTGCCTCGTTCTTCTCCAGTGCTGTACGTAGACAACAAGGCCATGCTGGCCTTGTGTCGAGAGCAGAGATTGGAGCACAGAACGAAGCATATTGCTCTCCGCTATTTCCTTGTTCGTGAGCTACAGCAGCGCGGTCAGCTGCGCCTTGCGTACGTGGCCTCTGAGGCCAACACTGCTGATATCTTCACCAAGGCACTTGCGCCTTGTGATCATCAGCGCTTCTGCACTCAGCTGGGTCTTGTGCCTACCTTGCCTCACTTGCTCACCTCTTGACCTTGTTTGTACTGTTGCATATACATATACACCTGCTCTTGCTTGTCTAGCCTTATATATATATGTAATCCTGCATGTGAACTGGCCTTGTGGCCTTGAACTTGTGCTCGGAATGTGTGGTGACTTTGTGATCCACCCTGAGCTTGCTTTGCTTTGCTTGACTGGACTTGTGACCCCTTGTTCTCCCCCACTTTGCCTATGGGGGTGTGTTAGATTTATATGACATAGCTACTGTAGGCTATAGTGGGGTAGCACATATGGGGTATAGCTTTCTGGGGTTTGTACTTGTACCCAACTTTCCCTTAGTCATTTCATTCTCGTTCTCTTTTCTCACGCGTGCCAGATTCTAAGGGCCGCTGATGGACGGTTGAGGGCTGGGCTCCGATCCTGCGTGCAGATCGTCCTCGCCTCCATCTCGACGCCCTTCAACGTGCAGATCCGCGCGGTCCGCCGCCCTCCTTGGCAACCTCTCCGCCGATCTTCCTCGCTCCCGCGAGTGCATCCTCCGCGACGGCGGTATTTCTCGACACGAATACGTCCGCTGCCAGCGCAGCTCGTGGCAGTCCATACTGCCCAGTTTGTTCTCTCGTTTGTGATGTAGTCGCCAGGTACTTCGCCACCCTCATAGCAGCTGTCCATTGGACAGGACGGTGTCTCCTAGTCGCAACAAAGCGAGAAAGTATGCTGAGGGGAAATGCGAGGTCCGGCCGAGTACAAGTCATCAGGTACATGAGGCAGCCCACCAACTTTGCGTACGGACCACTGGACTCAAACGGCTCGTCCGGAAAGGGGCCAGTGAGTTTGTGGTCAACAGCAAGAGGTGTGGGTTGTGTGGTGGAGAACTGGAAGTCGAACCGCCGAAGGACCTGCTGCACCATGTGTGACTGAGTCAGTGTGATGGTGCGAGCGGCTCTGTACCTGGCGATCTGCAGGCCAAGGTAGCGCTGTAGTCCACATAGGTCAGTGCACTTGTGTCTCTTCTGCAATTCGGACTTCACCTGAGCTAGAGCAGCCCTGTCTGCTGTGGCAAATACCAAGTCATCGACATACACGAGTATAGTGAAAGGAGTGGAACTAGTGCGAACAAACAGCGACGGGTCCGCAAAGGAAGGACAAAACCCAAGGTCACGAAGCATGAAGCAAAGAGTGCCGTGCCACTCACGGGGCGTCTGACAAAGATTGTAGACTGGCCGTCTCAGGCTCCACTATGTCCCAGGTGGGAAGGTGTCAGTGAAGCCAGGAGGGCGGCGCAGGTAGATGTCCTCGTGTAGCCGGCCCTGGAGAAACGCAGTCGAGAAGTCAAGGGAGTGCAGCTCGTAGTCTCGCTGTGCTGCTACGTGCAGTAACACCCGAAGAGTAGTCATCTTCGGGCTTGGGGCGAAGGTCTGGAAGAAGTCAACCCCCTCACACTGACTAAAACCCCTAGCCACGTAGCGCGCCTTGAACACAGGCGGTGAACCAGGCGGCCGCTTCACGAAGAGCGACATGCCATTGACTACGTTCGCCCAAGGAGGGGGAACTGCATCGACGTAGGTGCCTGTGAATCTCCAAGACGCTAACTCCGAGGCCATAGCCGCTTTCCACTGTGTGGCCCACGCCCCTGACACTGCCTTGCGGTAGGTGTGAGGAGTCGGTATGTCAAGGGCGTCGGGGTCTCCCTCAGGGGATAGCAGCATAGCACAGACAGAGGGAGAAGCGGCTACCCAGTACTCCAGCTCAGACTCTCTGTCCTCTAGGATGTCACAGCCAAGTGCAAACTCACCCCCAACGGACAAAGGACGGGAGGGAGGAGCTGGCACCACACTGGTGGTAAAGTCAAGGCGACTGGCGGCAGCAAACTCAGCGACAGCGGCAGTGAGAGCCGAGACAGACGATGGAGGGAAACGAGAGTCGGTGACAAGAGTGGCGAGGACACGAGGAACTACAGGACAACCTGCATGGTTGTAGTCAGTGACAGGAGTAGGGGGGAAAGGGAGAGAGGACGGAGGAGGAGACGTGAGAACAGACTCAGGAGGAGGACGACGAAGAGACGAACAAAGAAGGGCCGTGCGGAGGTCACGAACGGGAGACGAGTGACGAGCATGCGGAGGTCAGGGACGGACACGGAAGTGCGGGACAACAGGTGGAGGAGACTGCGGTGGAGGAGAAGACCAGACCGCCGGACTGGCGTCAGGAGGAGGAAACGTGGGACCAAACGCTGGAGGGGACAGAGTGTGAATAGGATGAGAGGAGGGAAGACCAAGGGCCCAAAGGCCACTCACGTGTGGGAACAAGTG